CATATTAACCACTAGCATACATGTAAGAAATATCAAGTTACTTTTTTTCTCTGAATAAAATATATATTTTGCTTTCCAAGGATACAATAACGGCTCCCATGCTTCCTCATGTGAACTTAAAGGAGATCTAAGGGGTTAGGGCTGTTCCCCATAGTTCTTCTTAGTGTAACAGGAGGACACAAACTAGCGTCCTCCCATCACCCTAAGCTCAGTATACCGCCCAGCTGCGTGAGTGACAGCTGGCTCTACCTATCTAGAGGCAGAGCCAGCTGTACCAGCCCCCTCCCCCGTCCGTTCCGCCAGTCAGCGCTGGAGGATCAGAGCTGGGAGGGGGGAATCCAGCCCCTCCCCTGTCACGGCAGATAGCCGTAACAGGATCGAGAAGTGAGCGAACGCCGGTATGTGTTCGCTCACTTCCCGATCTACTGAGCCGACCTGTGACAGTCTCATTGTCACAGGTCGGCTAGAACTATGTGATGAGTGAAAAGCACTCATCTCATAGTTCTCCTTTAAGCATCAGCAATTATTACATGATCTCTGGCTACCAAGGTTTTTGTGGATGTTTTAAGACTGAAAAGCATTTACTGTTTGCCATTGATAGTAGTCGTTTTGTAAAAAAAAATGAAAGCTCTATGTGCCCCCCCAAAATTGTATAAAATTAATTTCAGTACAGCGTTGCATGACGGAATAAATGTCAGTCAAAGTACCGCAGCGCTGAATACTGAAAAATGGCCTGGCCAGTGAGGGGGTGTAAACACCTGGTCAGCAAGTGGTTAATCTCACTTTAGGAACAAATACAGGAAAGTTTAATATCACCTTACCATTGAATGAATGTTATTGTAAAAGAACTCCTATGACATGAAAAGTTGTAGAAATACAAATGGTGCGAGGTTCTTTATTAACATGAATGGATTGAATTGATCCTTTCAAAAATTACAAGGAATTGGGAATATTAAAGGCAGAATGAGGAGGGGATGCATTTGCTTGGCTGTGACGGAGGGAGCCATTTTGGATTTTCAATTTGAATCTATGAATCCTGTTAGGGTTAAAGCTGAACTTCATTCAGATAAAAAAACTAATTATTGCAGCTCTTTATTCATTAATAAATTACTAACAGGGTTATTTACTAAAGGGTGAAGAGTTTGGAGAAGGCAGGAGAAAGGAACAATCTAGCACAACATAGCTGAACTGGAAAGTGAGCTGAATTGGATAATTTTTCCAAATCAGCTATTTTGTTCTAGATTGTTCACTTCTCCTGCCTTCTCCAAGCTCTTCACCCTTTTGTGAATAAGCCTGTGTAGCATTCATCCCCAAAGGAGCTGCTGGATTAACCGGATCATCATCACCAGGGGTATGATCTTCAGCTGCCCCATTAGCATTAACCACCGTCTTATAGTGCCCACGAACTGATGTCCACTCCAGTAATGCAATGCTGAATAACTTTTATTAAACTTCTTAACACTGGGGAGAGAGGATATATTGGGATCCTGGACATCCAGGGTATAACAGACAGACTCCAGACTCACCAGACCTTGTTAGCATCTCAGTGTAGATACACTTGTAGGACAGCGAATAGTAAGTGGGGGTATCAGATGAGCAGGAAATGAGTACAGATCTTTAGACGGAGAGACACCCGGCATGCTCGTGAGGTCCTCCAGATTCTGAATACCTTCAGCAGCCATCCACCTTCCTGGTTCTCTTCCTCTGACAACAACACAGGCCTCCTCCCTTCTGGGGGCCCGAGGAAACTCTTCCCACACTCCAGCCTATGCCCAACCCCAGGCCCCAGATCTAGCCTTCGGGCGGTTGGACAGCATCCAGCCTTAATCCATGGCTGGTCCCGACAAGTCTGAGCACATGGCAAATCCCTCCAGTATATGTACCCTATCCCAGCACGCACCACTGGTTGAGAGAAACCCAGTGATTGGCTGTACTGTAGATACACTACAGTGCCTCTCATTGGCCATCCCACAATTTAGCAGAATCACACTCCGCCCAGGTGGGTACAATCAATGTCAGACACCTGGAATTAACCAGATAAATGCCACTATAATCCAACCGGGCTGAATACAGCCCTGGCAATCACTAAATGTCTAGTAGCCACATCACAGTATGTGATGGGGGCTACACCCGTAAATGTTTTTTTTTTGTGTGGGATGTTTCACATTAGCACCCCGAGAAGTCGCACCCCGTCATGCACAGTTTTCCTAATCTAAGTTTTCCCCACTTGAATTTCTTCAGCAATAGAAATCCTCTTGAAAAAAACCCATAATATATTATATTACAAATAAATGACGGCGCTGATGTGGACGGAGAATAATGATATGTAATAAAGGTTATCTACCACTGGAGGTCATCATAAGAATGTTTGTATGTAAAGGGAGCTTGACGTTAAGTATGTGCAGCACAGATATGTCATATATCAGTTTTACAGATATCAAGTCTTTTTTGTGTTCTTCATTTAACATTTAATATAATTTTCTTTTCAATTAAATGATCTTTAGGTTCCCTGCATTATTTAAATAATATGTATTTATAGATCTTTATATGTTTTCTTTTTTTAACATTAACATTTAGCACTTAAAATACAAAGAGAAGTTTTGTTGAAAGTGACACACGATTCATTCATTCATTGACTATAAAGAGCATGAGATGTGTAAGAGTTGATATTTCTGCTTCTGTGATAAACAAACCTTTTTCTGCATTTCTGTGGTATGCTAATATCCTTATATCTTTATATGCTAGCTGATTGTAGGTTATTTATAGTCACTCATCCCTGATGCAACAGAATAGACATAGGTCTCCACCTTCATTGTTGCCATATGTCACCAACAATACAACACCACCACCCATAAATGCTCCGTCGCTTAGTCACTGCTTGAGTTATCGATATTGGCTCAGTACAACAACCCCTAGGAGTTGCCTATATCATCCTGCCACAGTGCACCGTGAGCAATACTTTCTCCCTGTTTTTTTTCACCATAGTCTTCATTCTTCAGTGCTAGGCACTTTTACAAACACAAAAGTGTGAAAAATATTGAAAGGTATCCTCAGCTACCGCTTCCCCTCTCCAGAAAAAAAAGACTGCCTAAAACACAATATAAATATTGTGTTTTGCTGATTAAGGCTGGGTTCACACCATTTTCCGGACCAGATCTGGAACATAGTGCATTGTTTATTGCCATGTTTTTACCCCGATTTTACCGCAATTGGAAATATCTTTATTTAAAAAAAATGTTTTAGCTGACAATGTTCTTACAGGTGCATTCCATGCATTTTTTATGTGTTTTTATGCGTTCCAATGCATTCCAGACCAGACAAAATAGGACAAGCAGTATTTTTCTGGTCTGGTCTGGAGCAGACTGCACTGGTGGGAACAGAGGCCAGAAATAGCATAGGGATACATTAGGATGCATTTTGGGTCTGGAAACAGTCTGGTCTTGTCTGGAGGTAATCTGGATGTGGTGTGAATGGGTCCTAAGGGCCCATTCATAAATTTTTCAGTTTTCTGGGAGTGCACAAACTGCGCACTCCATTCAGGTGGCTGCAGAACAGTGTACTGTCTTAGTTTATCTTCTGCAAACTACCATGCTCTTTTTTTCCATCCCTTTCTCCAACCCTGCATCCATCAGTCACATTTCTTGCAGCCCATAAAAAGTCTTCCATCTATCCTACTCTTTCCAAAAATTCTTCTATCCTTATAACATCCATCTCCTTTACTCCATCCATGCATCCCTCTAGCCATCTATTCACTATGCCCCCAATTACCTCTCCTTTCTCACAAAATGGATGCACCTTATAAAATAGGCACTTTTATATGACAGATAATGACATATTTTTTTTTTTTTTAAATCTACGCTTATTGAACAAAAACATAGGCTGACACATATACTGTATGCATAGGTCTGCATGCAGGCAGCCAAATGTTCATCATTGAAATAAGTGTACATATAGTAACGAGCAACGGAACCTCAAGCAAGACAGTATGCTACAAGGCACAGTGGCACAATGAATAATTTTGGTCCCAGCTACTAACATCAAGCCTGCCACTGGTCAATTAGCATAATACATCCAACCCTTAGTGTGTTCCATTTTCCATCTCACTCAAAGTAGCAACCTTGTGAAGGAAGCTGTTCCTCACTGTAAGCAATGACAATGTTTACTAAGCGGAGTTCTCTCCGGTATAGTCTAGACTCTAGAGAATAGTAGTTCAGTATGGAGTGGTGTTGTGATCCACTAGGGATATAGATGCTATCGAGCATTTAAGAGCAAAGTAGACCATCGTGTCTCTCTGCCGAGGGGTGAATGTAATACCCAGGTCAGCTTCCCACCTCTGTAGGAATTGCGGGGTGAAATCCAGTGGATGGGCAACTAGCATCTTGTAGGTCTGGGACAATGCGTGTCTGACTGGCACCCCCCTTCCACACATGTCTTCAAATGGAGTCAGTGGCCTATCAATTTGCCGCGAGACGGGGATTGCTAAAAGCAAGTGTCGGAGTTGATAGGCAGACCAAACATCCAGGGGTGTCTCCAACAGGGTATGCAGTGCGGGTATCCCCATCCAACTTCCCCCAGCTCTAAAGTTTCGTATCCGAAATGTATTAAGGCCGATTAGAGTATGTAAGCGTCGGTTTTCCATACACACTGGGAAATCTGGGTCTCCTATCACTGGGGTGAGCGGGGAAGGGAATGGGGAGATGGAAGAAGAGCGAAACAAAGCCCTCGCAATCCTGAGAGTAGCTCCGATCATGGGATGTTGGGAGCAACGTGCGGGCATGAGGCCTGAGAGCCATGGAAGGCCTGACAGCGGGATCGGGGTGATCTTTAGTTCCACGTGTACCCATTGTTTGTGAGTGGAGTGGCAACACCAGTCCACGACTCTATTGAGATGTACTGCTTTATAATACATAGTCATGTCGGGGAGCCCAATCCCACCCGCTGATTTAGGCATAGTGAGGAGGTGTCTGCCGATTCTGAGAGCTCCATTTGCCCAAACATACAACAGGAACATTCTACGGAGGCGAGAAAAGAAGGCCAGCGGCAGACGAATGGGCATCGCTTGCATCAGAAATAGTATTCTGGGGAGTATGGTCATTTTAAGAGCATTGCACGTCCGAACCATGTCACCGTTAGGGCCTGCCACGTAGTAAATCTTGTTTGATCTGCGATAAGAGGGGAACAAAATTGGTTTGTACAGTGATTCCAGATCCGCTGTGATAGCAGATATGGCAAGGAGTGAGCTTCCCACTTGAAGGGAAATTTGACCTGAATCGCGCTCTGATCATCCTGGGGCAGCGTGATGTTCAAAGCTGCCGATTTAGACTAGACTAGTTGATAGCCAAGTTGGATAGGGAACCATAAAATTTTAACTCCCTCATGAGTTCTGGTAAGGAGACCCTGGGCTTTGAGGCCTGGCCTCTCTGGTCAAAACAAATCCCACCTGATCATCCTGTACTAAAGCTTGGATACATGGCGAGAGTCTAGTGGCAATAATTTCAGGTCCACGTTTAGTAGGGCTATGGGGCGGTAGCTACCACATTGTGCTTACGCGGTGACCTTGTGTTCCATTGAGTGAGTCCAAAATCCTGAAATCCCCCTATTCAATCTAACGTAGCCCAGGAAGGGCTCTAATGCTAGGATATACATCAGTGGGGAAAGGGTACACCCCTGACGCGTGCAATTCGTAAGTGGGAAGTAGGGAGACCTAGTCTCATTAACGTTGATGGCTGCCGTAGGGTGAGAATAATGTGCAGATAACCACGATAACATATGAGGGGCGAGGCCGATATGGCGGAGGGTGGACCTTAAGAACAGCCAGTCCACCCTGTTGAACGCCTTCTTGGCGTCGGTCGAGAGAACCATCAACGGGGAAGATGTAGAATGAGCCTTTTTCAGGTCCACGTTTGAATGAACAGTTTCAGGTCCACGTTTAGTAGGGCTATGGGGCGGTAGCTACCACATTGTGCTGGGTCCTTCCCCTCTTTGGGAATCACTGCAACATGCGCCCTCAGAGAATCTACTGGAAAGGGGCGTTTCTGGAGAATGGAATTGAAGGCTGCCAAAAAGTGAGGGGACAATTAGTCTAGGAACTTTTGGTAATACGGGATCGTGAAACCGCCAGGGCCCGGTGCTTTGCCGGACTTGGATTGTTTCAAAGCACCGGCCAGCTCCTTCGCCGAGACAGGGAGTTCTGAGAACTCCCTGTCTTCCGGAGAGAGCGAAGGGAGACCAGGGCCCTTGAAGTACAGGTCTTTCTTCGCCGCTCGGGCCGGCGCCTCCCGAATCTGGGGGTCCGGTTGTAAAGATTATGGTAAAAGTCACATAATTCCTCTGCCATGTCTTTCGATAGAGTGAGGCGAGAGCCCTGTCTGGATGTCAGGTGTGATATGAAGGTTTTACCTCTCGGGCCACGTAGAGCCCTGGCTAGGTACTTACCCGGTTTATTAGCATGCTCATACAGGCACCTCCTACCCCACATGGCCCGCCTCTTTACCCGCACAACCAGATGAGCGTTAATCGCCTCACGGACCTGAACGAGTTCCCTGTAGGCCGCCGCCGGCAGTGACTGCTTGTGTGACACCTCCAGTCTGCGCAGGCGGCGCAGCAGAGTCTCAATTTGAGCATTCTGCTCCCTTTTCAGTCTCGCTCCATGCTTAATAAGCATGCCCTGCAAAACACACTTGTGCGCCTCCCACACAGACAGGGGGTCAACTTGATCAGTGACATTTATGCGGAAGTAGGCCGCCAGGGAAGTTGCCAGGTCCATACAGATAACGGGGTCCTGCAATAGGGACTCATTAAGCCTCCAGGAGGAACATCTAGAGGTGGGAGCCAGGAGATCCATACGCAGCTGAATCAGGGCATGGTCAGAGAGAACTGGAGAATCTATGGAAGTCGATAAAACTCTAGTCAAGTCCCCAAGTCGGTTGAAAAAATAGTCTATTCTCGAGTAGGATTGATGAACTGTTGAATAGTAAGCAAAATACCGCCCCTCCGGGTACAGGGTACGCCACACATCTATTAGATGCAGCTGTTGGAGCGCTAACTTAAGCTTCCGGAAGGTAGGAGAAGGAAAGGTGAGAGGCACCCCTGGAGGTGTCAACAGTGGGATCCAGGGCCATATTGAAATCCCCACCCAAAATCAGAGTTCCCTCCTGGAATTCCTCCAGACGAGAAAAAAAAGATTGCAGGAACTGTAGTCATTGGCCAGTGTCACCGTGGTAAGCCCACGCGTCCCTTAATCACTAGAAACCGACCCATCTCATCAACCATTTGATCAACCCATGTACACGCCACCGATTTGGAGATGAAGATACTCACTCCTTTAGACATGGAGAGCGGTGATGCAGCGTGGTACACCACAGGATAATCACAATTCACCAATTTGGGGACAGCGTCTTTATTGAAGTGGGTTTCCTGTATGAAGGCCACTTGGGCTCTGGCTCTCCGCAAGTCAGAGAGCAGCCTCGATCTATTTTCGGTTGATGTTCAACCCCCTGGCATTCAGGGAGTATAACGAGAGAGGGGCCATATTACTCAACTACCCGGTGGAGGACCTGGGGGGAGGCAAGAAGGGAGGGTGGGGGAGAAGAATGGGATGGAGCTAGGGGGTAAGAGTGAAGTCAAGACAAGCAAAGAGAAGAAGGTACAGCAGTGTAGGAAAGAGAGAGCGGAGAGAAAGTCGCTGACACTGACTACAGGTCAGTCAAAACCTTTTGAGTCACGCCCACCCCTGTACTGGTAGGGTGTGAGCATGTAACCGATGGGGGTGAAGTTAACACAAAACAGTGGTCAGAACAATAGCAATGTAGGAGATGCATCAATTCAGCACCTCAACCTAGTATATTATGATGGATTCCTCCACCATAGCTACTCGGCCATCTAGGGACGTCACCCTCTGCCCAATGTCCTGCACCTCTTGCCTGAGGGCTGCCACGATGCGTACGGTCATGTCCTCCAGGTCTCCCTTAGTAGTGAGGCGCTCGCTTACCTCGGCCACAGTGCGGGCACCCGATTCAGCAGGCGAGAGTTCCGGCGAGGGGATCGCCGATGGGTGTCGATCGCGAGGCAGACCCTCCACATCCGTGGGCGGCGCTGCCACTTTCCCCCGGGTCTTGGAAGGAGTGGGGCATGCTGTCGCGGAGCGGGTAGATGCCATTTGTTGCATATCCCCAGGTCGGCTTGAGGCGCCCGCGGAGACGAAAAAGTCAGCCAGGTCAGACTGTCGGGAGCTCCCAAGGCACACCTGACTTCCCTGCACCCGAGACATCCAGAGAGAGGGGTTGTAACATCAACTAGAGAGTAGGCCGGTGCCGGGAGATGCAGAGCTCCAAGAAGGCACGTCTTCACGTCGCCATTGGTAAGCCACGCCCCCAATAACGTTTTTAAAATAGAAATGTCTCTATGTTTCTGCTTTCAGACTTCAGTCAGATGTTATACTTAGGATATTCTACACAGAGTTAAAGGAGAAGTGATGGGAGAATAAAATGTATTCTTTCCAAAACTTAAAGCTGGTATGGGACACTGCAGGTGTCTCATACCAACTCTATATCCCCCTGCAGAGAGCAATGTCTGTCAATTACCACTCCCGGCAGGGATTCTCCCCTCTCCTCTCCATTCCTCCAGCGCTCATTGGGGAGGGGGCAAGCACAGCTGGCTCTGTCTCTAGAGCAGGATGGATCCCGGAAATATTGTTGGGATCCTTCCCAGCTCCAGCAAGGCTCTGCCCTGTCAGCAAATAATATATCTACTCCTTTGACCCAAAAGAGGACTTAAACATAACCTAAATGTTGGTGGAATGGAAGCACTTGGTATGTAATAAGAAGAGAACTGTGGTGAAAGGGTTAACAATAGGTGTTAGATTATATTATTAGTTTTAGGTTCTATATAAATGTAGACGCAGTTCTGTTCCCTGTACACTCTCTATATCCCCATTTCACCTTTTACACTAAGATCATTTCAAAACCATGTACTGAAAGTCATCTAGTTTAACGTATATTTCAACTTTCGCAGCCAAATTGGAAAAACACCTACTTCATATTTGTTACATGTTCCCATTCACACAGCATAACTTAAAAACGGAAGCAGTTGAATTATTTTCAAGTGCTTATTACTTCCTATCTTGCTTCCTCCCTATGTGATGTTGAGGAGGGGGCTGTGGGAAAGTATGTTTACTATAATTAACCCTCTCTGTGCTGTTTTGGCATTACAGAACACTGGCTGTCCTAATAAAGAGTAGGGATGGGCTCAATGTTTGAGTTGAGCAAGAGTGCGATTTGAACATTGGCAGTTCTGTTTGTCCGCTGAGCTACCCACAAGGCACTGCGCACCACAGGTCAGGTGCAAGATGTTGCCCAATCAGGGCACAGTACTTTGTAAAAGCCGTGATTGGGCAAAGTAATGATGACTTTGCCCAAGCATGGCTCACCTGTCAGATGCCGTACAACTGTAAACAGTTGGGCGGCTAGCTAACTGTCACCACTAGCTCCACCCAATTGCTTATATTTTACCTGCATCTCTCAGAATGCCCTTCTGCACCAGGAGTTTGTCGCGAGAGGACGGGTCGGTGGGCATCTTTTTTAAAAATTATTTATTTTTCTTTTTTCTTGTTTAAAGTTTCAATTTTGTCGAGTCATCGTCATCGTTGACAATGCTGGATGCCATGATTGGCCCTGAATTATGTCAGTGGATCCATTTTTTTTAATAATAAAAGACCGGTCAAAAACTTGTCTTTTTCATTTTTTTTTTTCAATTCAATTAAAGGATTTTTTTTAAAAGTCTGGCCTTTTTTTAAAAACTTTTATTTAACCCTTTAGTGAATGGGTAGGGGTACAAGTACCCCTTGCTCATTTACAAGGGGAGGGGGCACATCTTGGTGCCTTTTTATTAATGAGGTACCCTGATGTGAGTAAGCCCCCTGTTCGCACCCCCACAACCAACGCCCTAGGGCAGGGGCGCCCACAATTTTTCATCTGGAGATCTACTTTTCAAATGATGAGCTCAATGAGATCTACCAACGGAAAAACACTTGCATTCAGGGGCAGGAGGGGGCGTGGTGGTGCATTGAAGTCAATGACACCGCAGCCAGGCACCGCAGGCAGGCCCCTCACCCACAGTGCGATCCCCTGCACCCGGAACCCAGGCACTTTAGTGCCTGAGTTCCAGTCCAGTGCGATCCGGAAAAATGATGCAATTTTTGCAGATTGCAGTGGACCGCAATGCAGGCACTGTTGTGCCTGCGTTCCGGGTGCGGGGGATCGCACTGTGGGTGAGGGGCCTGCCTGCGGTGCCTGGCTGCGGTGCCATTGACTTCAATACCACCCCACACCCCCCCCCACCCCTGAATGCAGAGAGTCGGCCGGCTTACATTCCAGTGCATCCTAGAGGTCCCGGCATCCTGTCCTCCCGCGGTGCTCATGTGTTTTCATCTGCAGCGTCTGCCACATTCAGCCGGCACCGTGGGAGCATAGCCGCAGCCAGCTCTTTTTGCACCCGAGGCATGAAAGAAAACTGTGTGTCTAGCTTTCCTGCCCGCTGTGGCTCAGCCTGGCCAGCTGAGCCTCACCACGAGACAGCTGATCCTGCTCCACATAACATCCCCTCAGCTGTCCTGTACACTGGATTCCACCGGGCCCCACCTCCCCAAGGATCCCATCCCATCTCCTCCAGAGAATTTACAAGGACTTCTCAAATGTAAGTGTTGCTTCAACCATTCATTCTATCAGTAGTAGCGCTCTCAATACATAGGTTGTTTTCTGGTTTGTCATCACAGGGTACCTCTCCCTGTTTAAACAGAGCTTGCACACTGTACCCCCAGCCCAAATTTGACCCCCCACTGCCAGCTTGGACTTTTCGGTTGTGCG